GTGCCAAGAAAAACGTTAGCGGAAAAACGCGGAAGAGCAGATTGCACATGAGAGAGCACAGACGCCACGTATGTTGTGATCAATAAGAATGGCAGCGGTCGCATTTCCAACTGGCAACAGTACCATCATCCCTGCGATTTGAGGTCCTGCTACCTCTACCAAGGATAGAAATTTCCTGAGGATCTCACCGCGAGCCGTGCCTTCGAACAGTCACTAGCGAAGGTATCACAAAGGAATAAATGCCAACCAAGTTACGCAGTCTAGAGTGCAAAGACGCTCCAGTACTTGTGTCAACCGTGAACTTAGGTTCGGTTTGTAGCGCTGTTTGGGAGCTCTCACACATGCACACTATCACAACATCTCTCTTTCTTTATATTCTCAAAGTGCTCCATCCTTCCATCTACACTCCGACCTTTGGTTGACAGAAATCATGTAACCCACAAAGACAGTACCTGGGCTCGAAAACGCGTCCATAATGCCGAAGATGCGCTCCCGGCTACTCCACCGCCTTCACTGGAAGCTGATTGGCCTCCAACTTCAGAGGCTGGCACACCACTGTCTGCGGCTTGAAGAATAAAGATTTAAATTTAGTACGGATTAGATGTAAAGCTGTAACTAGTAGCATACCAACCCCTACCTGATACAGCCATATCAAGCCCTGACTGACTGCTGCCTACATTCGGGTTCAAAATGGGAGTACTGATGCCGATACCAAGCGGAGTCGCAAACAGTGGCGTCGAAGACGACAACTCCCGTCCGAATTGATGGAGTGCCTATTGAAAGAGAGAATGTAAATAAGAACAAAGCGTAGAAGCAAAAAATAAACGCTGTCCATTTCCCCACAAAAGGAAGAACAGAATAAATTGGCAATTTCCCTAAAACCTCGGACAGGGTATCTGACGATGTATATGTGGCTCTAGATGTAGCCCATTCAAAATTTTATTTCAAAAGTGCAACTACAAATTTGGGGCGGAAGTGGTGTAGTGGCAAGTGGCACGCTTACCACGCGAGCGGTCCGGGGATCAAATCCTGGGTCGTGAGTCGCCCGGGCCAACCAAGCCTTCCATCCCTCCGGGGTCGGTTAATTGGTACCAGACTTGTCTGGGAGGATAAAAACACTGACTTGTACATCGGCTGGCCCCCGCAAGTCATTGTATAGGCCACATCGCATTCAAACGCCACTACGAATGTACAAATGGAAGTAGAATGCGTGCCGCATCCCAAAAAGGGATTGATCAACGGCAAATGCTTTATCCTTTATCCTTTATAAAATTTCTATCAGGAGATTCTGCGATCAGTGCGAATCCACTGGAAGGGGCATCTTTGGGGGTTGGAGCAACACCCCTTAGATCAAATTATTGGGATCACAGTTTGATAATGGAGTGTGGATCCAATGTTTAACTTGAAAATCAAACAAGCGAGAAAACATGTCCATGAAATCCTCTACTTCTTTATAAAGGAGGGGGTGGACTCAGACTATTTCTACGAAAGTGACTGTCACAGCCAATCCTGCTCAAAAACTGCGGCCCGCGCATGACTGAATTTAGCGCTTACCCGTATTCACTTGCGTCGATGGAGTGTGCACGAGCAATCTCTACCGCTAAAGCTCAAATACATAAGCCTTACCTCTGGCAAGCCAAAGCCATGTGTCGCGCACTTCGAGCCGCACGACAGTGTCACGTGTGATACTCGGCTGCGGCTACTCTATCCACCCAAAGGATAGATTCTTTGACATGACTTCATCTGGGGTTGTTACTTTAACTTATAGGATTCATGCCACTTCTGATCTTCTAAGCACAAGCAGTTTTTCATACTGAAAACAAACCTGCTTTCACACTCGGCGCATCTTTCAGCATACTCTGACCATCAGCAACATTAAGAGTAAGCTGCACTCGCTCATCTTCAATGCAGCAGTCTCGTTTTCGCCAAAAATCCAGCAAATAAGAACAAGTACCCAGAGACTCGTCGATTCGACCTGTAACTTAATTACTAAATTACCACCCCTTTTGGGACAATTCGAGTCAACTAACCAAATTTAGTTTCAATATGCAATCGGAGAACTAGAAGACCGTAGTGTGTCGGAAAATCTTTCAATGCATTTACCACTAGTTCGAGTGCACCCTGAATATACAGATGTGCGCTTAATTAAAATCACAATTTATTAAAGTAAGAGTGAGATGGAAAGAAAAAGCGACCACCTTGAGGTCAGCTTCAGCGGTGAAAATAAGAGCTAACAGCATTATAGCAGCCGGCTGCTCTGCGTTTAATTCTAGAGACCTGGCACAACGTTCACGAGCTGCTTCCAAATCTCGGACTGAAACTACCACTGTTAATTACAGAAGAAATGATGAAGAAAAAGTAAATAGAAGTAAATATTTCACATTCCCCTTAAAAATATGATAAAGAAACGGCACAGTTTCCAGCAAGATCAGGGGAAAATAGCAAATAGCGGAGGTTTCTCCCAGTTGCACAAGTTTTAGCTCACTATGCCATTCCCACCTGATCCCTCAGCCAGCAGAAAACGAAGAGACACAAGGGTAGAAGAGTTGAACTTGGAATTAAATAACAAAAAAGATACCTATAGCATGGTACAAAGCGCAGTAGTAGTGCGCCAGGTAGTCGTGAGGATCTGTGTGCACACAGTTCTCGAACATTGCCAACGCTTTACCGAGCAGTCGTCGTCGATTCTCGAAGCATGGCTCCGCTTGAGCTTTTCTTCTGTAATCATAAGAAAGACAAATGTATAAATTTCGGCATTTATTGAAGCTTTTTTAGAATAAGCTGCGTTTTCTACTAGCATTCACAGTCACGGTGGCATTTGATTGCAATTTCGCCCTTACTATGGCTTGAGGGGAAAAGTTATGATCGGAGACCAGCGTGAAATCGTCTCATCGCCATGGCCGCGGTGGCGCTGTGTTCTGAGGGTCCGTTGTCCTATCTGAAAGGAAGGGCTCAACTGTTGTGTGCAATAGCGCACGGGTATGTTACCATTTGGTTTCATTTCCATGTTATATCAATGTTTTCATCGTTTTTCCTCGTTGCTCAAAAAGACTTCTCGGGCTTTGTTTAATCGCCTCATTTCTATAAATGTATGAGATCCAAAGATGTGTGCTGGCAGAAGCGGACTACAAACTTTTAAGATACAGGAAATAGAGATAACCTCCTTATTGTACGTTTTGGTTTGTGACAAGTTACGTGCAGAGATGTGAGCATAATGGACGATTTAAGTGAACAGCTGTATCGGTCAACCAGCGCTAACCATGACGAGGTTATACGGGTTTTGTCGTTAATGTACCCTAAAATCCCATAGATAAGAGCGGTCCATAGATATTTTTTCAAAAATAAAATAAAAATAAAAATATTTTTTCAAAATCATTTTTTACCGGTAAATTAAACCGCTCTTATCTATGGAATTTTACTGATCGAATGGGCTCTTCAAGTTCTATCCAGAGATCAAATTCCGGCATTTCTAGAGAGATTCCGGCAGAAATTCCGTTAAAATCGCTATTTTTCTATATGAATTGTTTATTAAGTGGGCGGGGTTTAGAGTTGAGGGACGGAGCTTCTTCTAAACTTCTTCTCCGATTTTTATTTATCCATCCATCAAGTTAGAGGGGTGACTGCATTCAATTTCAATTTCATTCCAATTCATTTTTCACCGGTAAATTAAACCGCTCTTATCTATGGGATTTTAGGGTAATAAAAGCTAGGCATATGTGCTGCCCGCTCGGCCAAGCCGTAGAGGAGAAGGTAGCAGTGACCTAACTACAGTCGGGGAAGAAACCATCCACACGATCGGTATAACCC